CAGGTGATCCACCTACTTGGCCTCCCAAAGTGCTAGGATTACAGGTGTGAGCCACCGTGCCCCGCCATATATATATATACACATTTTTTTTTTTTTTTTTTTTTTTTGAGACAGGGTCTTGCTCTGTCACTTAGGCTGGAGTGCAGTGGCGCAGTCTTAGCTCACTGCAACCTCTGCCTCTCAGGTTCAAGCTATTCTCCTGCCTCAGCCTCCTGAGTAGCTGGGATTACAGGTGTGCACAACAACGCCCAGTTAATTTTTGTAGTTTTAGTAGAGATGGGGTTTCACCATGTTGGTGAGGCTGGTCTCGAACTCTTGGCCTCAGTTGATCTGCCCGCCTCGGCCTCCCAAAGTGCTGGGATTACAGGCGTGAGTAACTGCGCCTGGCCCAACATGGGTAAATATTTTAAACAACCTTGAGTGAAAAAGCACATTGCAGAATGAAAAGTACAGCATGCACACCAATGTGATATATTATGGATACATCCATATGTTGTAATATGTATTATATATGTAGTAACGTGTACTATGTTTAAAAAATTCAAGAAGAAGATAAACACCAAATTCAGGAATAGTAGTTACATGTGGGGAGAGAGGGAAGAAAATGAGGTTGGAGAGAGGGCTTCAAATTTGCTTTCTTTTAAAAAAAGATACAAAGTAAATAAATATAACAGCTCAAAACCAATCTCCTTGAGTTCTCCTCCTCAGTGACAACCATCCTCATACATCCCTGGTATATCTTTCCAGAGATATTCTATGCACATACAAGGATACATATGTACATGTATTACTCTACCCTACTCTACCTTCTTTTTAAATAGTGATGGTGGCAAACATTACACATTGTTGATCTCTACTTTTTAAACAATGTATCTTGAACTTTGACACATGTCAGTGCATAAAGAGCTTTTTTTTTTTCTTTTTCATTTTTTTCTTTTTTTTTTTTTTGAGACAGAGTCTTGCTCTGTATCCCAGTCTGGAGAGCAATGGCATGATCTCGTCTCACTGCAACCTCTGCCTCCTGGATTCAAGTGATTCTCCTGCCTCAGCCTCCCAAGTAGCTGGGATTACAGGCGTTTGCCACCATGCCCAGCTAATTTTTATATTTTTAGTTGGTCAGGTTGGTCTCAAACTCTTGACCTCAGGTGATCCACCTGCTTCAGCCTCCTAAAGTGCTGGGACCACAGGCACGAGCCATTGCACCTGGCCTCTTTGTTCATTTTTTTTTTACAGCTGCCCAATACTTCTTTGTGTGGCTACCAGACTTTTTGAACCAGTCTCATATACATAAAATGTAGACTATTATTTTACTACAGAAAGCATCACTGCAACAAATATCCTTAGAAATATGTTATTCTACACAAATGTACAGTTTTATTTTTTAAAGACAGGGTTTTGTTTTGTTGTTCAGGCTAGAATGCAGTGGCATCATCATAGCTCACTGTAACTTTGAGCTCCTGGGCTCAAGTGATCCTCTTGCCTCAGCCTCCTGAGTAGGCTGGACAAGAGACACGCACCACCACATATTTTTTTTTTTTTTTTTTTTTTTTTTTTTTTGTAGAGCTGGGGTCTCATTATGTTGCCCATGTTAGTCTTGAACTCCTGGCCTCAAGCAATCCTCCCTTGTCAGCCTCCCAAAGTGCTGAGATTACAGGTGTAAGCCAGCGTGCCTGGCCATGATACAAAATATTAAATCAAAATTTTTTTCTTTTTTTGAGGCAGGGTCTCACTCTGTTGCCCAGGCTGGAATGCCGTGGCATTATCTCAACTCACTGCAACCTCTGTCTCCCGGATTCAAGCGATTCTCCTGCCTCAGCCTCTCAAGTAGCCGAGTAGTTGGGACTATAGGCATGCCTTACCACACCTGGCTAATGTTTATATTTTTAGTAGAGACTGGGTTTTGCCATATTGGCTAGACTGGTCTTGAACTCCTGACCTCAGGTGATCCACCTGTCTTGGCCTCCTTAAGTGCTGGGATTACAGGCATGAGTTACCACGCCCGGTTTAAACCAAAAAATTTAAAAATAATACTTAACACTGTTAAACTGTATACTTAAAAATGGTTAAGATGGCAAATTTTATATTTTACTACAAGTAAAGATAAAAATAAATAAATAACTTATGAACAAATTCCCAGAAGCAGAAATGCTGGGTCTTTTCAAACAAACAGTCCTCCAACAAGACCAGATCCATTTACTTTCTGCTCCAACATTTTCCAACGTCTTTACCCAAACACAGTTCAATACAGCATATTATCAGACTTTTTTGATCTGAAAAGCAGATGTGGTATTTCACTGCAATCTTAATTTGCGTATTTTATTTTTTGTAAGCTTTCCATTTGTCACTTGTCCATTTATATAATTTTTTCTTTTTTTTTTGAGACAGAGTTTTGCCCTTGTTGCCCAGGCTGGAGTACAATGGCGTGATCTCGGCTCACTGCAACCTCCCAGGTTCAAGCAATTCTCCTGCCTCAGCCTCCCAAGTAACTGGGATTACATGCACCCACCACAACATCAGGCTACTTTTTTTGTATTTTTTTAGTAGAGACAGGGTTTTACCAGTTGGCCAGGCTGGTCTCGAACTCCTGACCTCAGCTGATCTAAACCTCCTTGGCCTCCCAAAGTGCTGGTATTATGAGCCACCGCGCTCAGCCTTACATAATATTTTTAAAAGCATGAACTATTGTTACTTTTGTAGTAAAACAGCCATTGAGGATATTCTTAAAATTTAGGGTCTGGAGTACCTTCATTCAGTTTTTGAGAAGCTTGTTGATGCTTTCAAAAAACCTTATTGCATTATTGCTGGGCGTGGTGGCTCATGCCTGTAATCCTAGCACTTTGGGATGCCGAAGTGGGTGCATCACCTGAGGTCAGCAGTTCGAGACTAGCCTGGCCAACGTGGCAAAACCCCATCCTACTAAAAATAGAAAAAAAATTAGCCGGGTGTTGTCCAGCGTGCTTGTAATCCCAGCTACACGGGAGACTGAGGCAGGAGAATTGTTTGACCCAGGAGACAGAGGTTGTAGCGAGCCGAGATCATACCACTGCATTCCAGTCTGGGCGACAACAGTGAGACTCCGCCTCAAAACAAAAACCAAAAACACCTATTGTATTGTACCTGTATCAGTTTCCTGATTTACTATTATATCGTCTTTATGTTTGATGTTCCTATTGGGGGAAACTGGGTGAAGGTGTGCAGGACTCTATGTACCATTTTTGAAACTTCTTGTAAGGCTGTATTTCTAAAAAAAAAAAATTTTGTGATGTTTTTCTGGTTTGGGGGCTCTGCACTGACCAACTATGATCCTTGAGCCACGATGGCACCCAGGTCTGTGAACTGACAAACCCCACATGCAAGACAGCTACTAGATTAGAAAGAATACCTGAGGACTTGAAAAAGAGGCAAGCCTTTGGAGGCTGACTCTGGCCTCTGACTCCATCAGTGTCACATTCTGTCTAACTCAGAGAGCACACAGAAACCACACGATTAAAATTCACACTCTGCTGTATTTCTACATTTGTATCTGTGCCATTCATTTAGTGTCCATTCATTTACATAATCCCAAAGCCACTAAGGGTAGACCTCTGCAATAAGAGGACCTCTGCAAAGTATACAAACTCCTTTCCTTCTCTTTTTGTTGTTATCCTCTGAATATCTTCTATTTGAACCCTGTAGCTCAAGCCATACGTGACTCTCTGGAGGCCCCTGAGCAAGCCTGTGTTCCCCTGCATCTGGATTTGCCCCCGTTTTCCCTCCACTCGCTTTGCATAAAGAACTCCTACCATTCTTCAAGAAAGTTCAAGCATCATCTCCATTGGGAAGCCTTCCTGGATTTCCTACCACCCTCTCCCTACCAGTTTCCAACTCCACTCCAACAGGTAAAGTTAACTCAATCTTCTAGGCATCCTACTGCAACCTCCGCTAGATAAAGCTCCATTAAAACATTTATATCACTATATTGTCATCATTTGTTTAAACATGTCTGTTCCTACTAGATTGAAGATTGACGTATGTCCCTTGAGGACATACATTTTGTGACATTCATTTTTGTGTTTTCAGTGCCAGCAACAATGCCATACTGAAGGTACCCAGTACATATTTGAGGAAGGAGTTAGCCAGGACCTTGCCAGCTTCCTCTGTACTTCAGGTAAAGCCAACCAAATTCTTGGGTAATTCATGCCAGCCCAGAGCCAGGTGTTTTGCCGTCAGCTGAGGCTCTCATACCTCTGCCAAAGAAGAGTTCTTGCTACTGATTAGGCGCCCTCTAGTTGTGTGACTCTCTCCATATCTGTCTCCTTATCTTTAGTGTTCTGTTTTGTTTTGTTGAGATAGAGTCTCACTGTCGCTCAGGCTGGAGTGCAGTGGCGCGATCTTGGCTCACTGCAACCTCCGCCTTCCAGGTTCAAGCGATTCTGAGTAGCTGGGATTACAGGCCCGCGCCACCACACCTGGCTTTCTTTCTTTCCTTTTTTTTTTTTGAGATGGAGTTTCCTCTTGTTGCCCAGGCTGGAGTCCAATGACACGATCTCGGCTCGCCACAACCTCCGACTCCTGGGTTCAAGCGATTCTCCCGCCTCAGCCTCCCAGGTTGGGATTACAGGCATGTGCCGCCACGCCTGGCTAATTTTGTATTTTTAGTAGAGAAGGGGGTTTCTCCATTTTGGTCAGGCTGGTCTGGAAGTCCCGACCTCAGGAGAGCCGCCCACCTTGGCCTTCCAAAGTGCCGGTATTACGGGAATGAGGCACCGCGCCCGGCCTTATTTTTGTATTTTTACTAGAGACGGGGTTTCACCATGTTGGCTAGGCTGGTCTCGAACTCCTGACCTCAGGTGATCCACCCGCCTCGGCCTCCCAAACTGCTGGGATTACAGGCTTGAGCCACGGCCCGGCCTGTCTCGTTATCTTTAAAATGTGGACAATAAAAGCATCTCCCCACAGGGCTGTAGGGAGGATTACAGGAGATAATGCATGAAAAGCTCTTGGCACAGTGCCTGGCAGAGGGTGGGGTAGGCTCCCAAAGAATAGTCCCTTGCATGCGTTGCATCAATGAGTGAATGGAAGAAATGACTTGAGGTTGACTGTTTATTTACTGAATGCCTACCATGGAATGAGGGAAGGTTTTCTGCAACCTTTACTTTGACGGGGAAGGGCTTGTAGGGGTGAAGGTGGTAGCCGTCGGTAGCGACGAGGGTATTCCGGGCGGTCAGGAGGTTCCTGCTAGACAACTGTGTGGGAGTGGGCGGCTAGCATCCCCTGAGTGCGCGGGGAAGGCAGCTCGGTCGGATGGAGGAAGCGCTGGAATCCACGCTGAGCTCCAGTCCTGGGTAGTTATTAGCCGCGTGACTTTGGCCAAATTACTGAACCTCTCTCAACTTCCCGAACTGTAGAATGAGTCTGTTAAGAATACTCACACGCCAAGGATCTTGTGAGATCACGCGACCGCAGGTATGCGAAGACTCGCTTCATCCAGAAAGCACAAAACTCTCAAGCCAGCCGGCACTGGCCGCCTGGGATGCGCTCTCTGCACAAACGGCCCTGGGCTCCCTCTTCAGGCATGCGCCGTGGACCTGCGGCGCGGCCCGTCAGGCAGTGCGGTAGGCGCCCCAGGGGCTGGCAGGACCCTGACCCCAAGATGGCGGCGCCCAGCGAAGTGGCCGCGGTATCCCCTGGCGAAGGCGATGGCGGAGGCGGAGGCGGCAGCTTTGGCTCCTGGCTGGACGGACGGTTGGAGGCACTGGGAGTGGACCGAGCCGTTTACGGAGCCTACATCTTGGGTGTCCTGCGGGAGGAGGAGGAAGAAGAGAAGCTGGACGCTCTTCAGGGGATCCTCTCTGCTTTCCTGGTGAGTAGCCTGGACACATTCCTACAGCCTCTGGCCAGCATCTGAGGACCTGTCAGTACTTTGCACCCACCGTCCCCTACCGGGTATCCCAGAGGCTCAGTGGTCTCACCTGGGAGAGGTATACTCCTCTGCTATCTGGGCGGCGGGGGAAGGAGGTTGCTCCCCAACCAGGTGTGGGAAGCCTGAAAGCTGCAGGTACTACAGAGAGGAAGGGCTTTCACATATTCTTGGGGACAAGGCCCTCTCCGATGCTTGTGAGTGAGCCCAGGAGGGTTCTTCCGAAGGCATTGAGATGTCATAATGGGAATGTTATCATAAATATCTGACGACCAATTATATTTCCATCCGTTTACAGTGTTCACTGGGGGTATTAAAATGCTCTTGGCAGGTCTGTGCCTATTACAAGGCAGTTCCCAGGGCCGTCCCATGACAAAAGCCTGCAGGAAGTGCCCTTTTGATTCTTATTTGGATGTAGGAGTCCGTAAAAGGTAAGCTGGTGGTAGAAGTCTTTTCATGCCCACGCAGAACTGAAGCAAACGTCGTGCTTGATCCATTACGGTATTTACAGTAATCATTGGTGGTGGGAAGGAGGGTATGAGAGAGATCAGAGCTTTAACGAAGAGAGATAAACTCAGTCGTTAGCCTATTAGAAGCAAGGTATTCAGAAATGTGTACTTTAAGCTATATTTACATAGTAAGTCACCCAGATGTCCACTTTTTCAACCTATCATTTCTGCTGCCTTCATCTTCACTTCCCACACCTCCAGCGTACACACTTATTAGACTGGTTATTACAGATTAAATTGGTTGCAGGTGCTACCTGTGGCTGTCTAACAAATTGTTTCCTTTTAAATACAAGCTTAAAAATAAAATTTACTTGAATCATCACTAAATGCTGTAGAAGCTAGAGTTGTCTCTGCATTCATGGATTAGAGGAGATCCTGGATACCTGACTGCTACTGTGAGAGCCACCTGTCTGTCCATCAAAGGCTTTATCCTCTGGCATTTATTACAATGAACAGGTTAGGAAAATGGGTTCTTTGTTATTCTCAAAATGAATTTTGAGAGGCTAGTAATAAAGAGAATCAAAATGTACTATGAGATGGGCACAGTGGCTCATGCTTGTAATCTCACCACTTTGGGAGGCTGAGGCAGGTGGATTGCTTGAGGCCAAGATTTCCAGGCCAGACTGGGCAACACAGCAAGACCCTGTCTCTACAAAAAAATTTAAAAAATTAGCCGGGTATGGTGGTGCATACCTGTAGTCCCAGCTACTCAGGAGTCTGAAGTGGGAGGATCACTTGAACCTAGGAGGTTGTGGCTGCAGTGAGCTGTGATTGTGCCACTGCACTCCAGCTTGGGTGACAGAGTAAGACCTTGTCAATTTTTTTTTCTCAAAGAAAAGAATTACTATAAATATATATAGATATAAATATACATATACATACCTCATTTTTTTTTAAAGGGTAGAAGGCAGAAAACATTTTCAAATCCAAAAGTGTTTCGTGAAAGCGGAAACAAGTGCTAGGAAAAAATCACTCACATTTGGTGGAAGCAGTTCATAGATTGGGTACATGGTTGAAACATAACACTAGTGCAGCTGTCCCAGATTCTTCTGGCAGTAACCCATTTGAGTTCCAGAGCCTCTTCTGGCAAGATTGGCTTATAAATGGGAAAACTTTAACACAGCTTGTGAGGCAGCTCGGAAGTTCACTGGAAATACAAGACAGTGGAATCAATTCTTTTTTTGGACCACAACATTACAGATTACAGGGGGAAAGAGTAGGAGGCAAGCAATTTAAGTTAGTTTTTATTTACGGCTGGGAAGTTTCTAAACACTCCATGAAGCTGTTGAAATAACTTTGATACTTCTTGGTACCAGCTTACTCCTGACCTCAAGTGATCCACCCACCTCAGTCTTCCAAAGTTCTGGAACTATAGGCGTGAGCCACCATGCCCAGCCATGCCTGGCTAATTAAAAAAAAAATTTTTTTTTTGTAGAGACAGGGTTTTGCCATGTTACCCAGGGTGGTCTTATGCTCCTGGACCCAAGAGATCCTCCTGCCTTGGCCTCCCAAAGTGCTGGGATTACAGATGTGAGCCTCTGTGCTTGACTTGGGCTAGGATTTAATATGAGAAATTAAGAAGTTTGTTAGCAATAATCTGAGGTAAAATTCAAGAACAGATCAAGAAGCTGATCAGTCCATCATTGTTTGGAGCTGTTTCTGTTGATAAAGGTAAACATTAGTTTTCCTTTTTTTTTTAAGAGACAGAATCTCACTCTGTTATAGTAATGTGATTATAACTCACTGTACCCTTGAATGACTGGACTCAAGCAATCCTCCCCCCCATCAGCCTCCCAAGTTGCTAGGACTACAGGCACCTGCCATCACATATCATGCCTGGCTCACTTTTTTTTTATGTTTTATGTTTTATTTTTTGAGACACAGTCTCACTCTGTCACCCAGGCTGGAGTGCAGTGGCAAGATCTCGGCTCACTGTAACTTCTCCTCCTGGGTTCAAGTGATTCTCAGCCTCCCGAGTAGCTGCGATTACAGGCATACGCCACCATGCCTGGCTAATTTTTGTATTTTTAGTAGAAATGGGGTTTCACCATGTTGACCAGGCTGGTCTCAAACTCCTGACCTCAAGTGATCCACCCACCTCAGTCTTCCAAAGTTCTGGGACTATAGGCGTGAGCCACCATGCCCAGCCATGCCTGGCTAATTAAAAAAAAATTTTTTTTTTTTGTAGAGACAGGGTTTTGCCGTGTTACCCAGGGTGGTCTTATGCTCCTGGACTCAAGAGATCCTCCTGCCTTGGCCTCCCAAAGTGCTGGGATTACAGATGTGAGCCTCTGTGCTTGACTTGGGCTAGGATTTAATATGAGAAATTAAGAAGTTTGTTAGCAATAATCTGAGGTAAAATTCAAGAACAGTGGCATATAGTTAGGAACAAATAAACAGTAAACAAAAGCTTTCTATCGTCCTTCTCTTCAACAGTACTTGTATTGGTTGATTGATTGATTTATCAAATTTTTATTGATGGATTACTGTATGCCAGGCACTGCCCTAAGTGCTTGGGGCACTTCAAGGAATAAAACAGATAGAAATTCCTGCCCTCATGTGGTTACATTCTAGCACAGAAAAGCATTACTAGTAAACTATATAGTATGTTACAAAGTGATAAGTGCTAGGGAAAAAGGAGTATTGTAAGTAGGATAAACTTTCCTCTTAGTGCCTTGAACATAGCGGACACCTTCTGTGTAAATAAATGAAGGAATGGATGATTGAACTACTTTGATTTGGATGAGGAGACTGAGGAAATAAACCACTTTGTCCTCTGAGAGTTCTTGTTCTCTTTTGCCTCTCTGCTGCTCCTTTTCCTGACATTCTTTTTCTTTTGGTGGGGGATTTTAAAAGAACTGTACCACTTTCTCATCCTTTTTTCTTTTTCTCTTCCTTCGCTTTTTTTGCTGGTGGGGTTTGGGGAAAACCCATGAACTATTGAAACTCTGGACCAAGTAAGTTCTGTGTGTCTAGCATATATGCTAAAAGGATGCAGGGTAGAGGAAGAAATCCTTTGTTGGGTACAAAATAAGGATATACATAATAAGTCTGTGTTCTGACTCTCCACTTTTCTTTGGGAGATGGTATATATAATGGTTAAAAACATGGGTTCAGCCAGGCGCGGTGGCTCACACCTGTAATCCCAGCACTTTGGGAGGCCAAGGTGGGCGGATCATGAGGTCAGGAGATCAAGACCATCCTGGCTAACATGGTGAAACCCTGTCTATACTGAAAATACAAAAAATTACCCGGGCATAGTGGTGGGCACCTGTAGTCCCAACTGTTCAGAAGGCTGAGGCAGGATAATGGCGTGAACTTGGGAGGCAGAGCTTGCATTGAACCGAGATTGCGCCACTGCGCTCCAGCTTGGGCAGCAGAGTGAGACTCCGTCTCAAAAAAAAAAAAAAAAAAAAAAGAACATGGGCTCTAAGCCAAACTGCTGGGGTTCAAATTGTGTTTAATCCATTATTACTTGTAAGACCTTGGGCAAGGTAATTAACCTCTGTGCTTTGGTTTCTTCTTCTGTAAATTGAAAGTAAAACTTAATGGCATTATTTTAAGAATTTAGAGTTCTCATGTAAAGCTTTTAGAACAGTGCCTGGCACATGGTAGGTGCTTAATAAATGTGAACGCTGACAGCTTGCCCTGAGAGGCAGAACGTGAAGGTGGGGAATGCAGCCGTAATGAAGATGGAGGGAAGTGCTCGTGTTTATTAGATGCCTGCTCTTTGACAAGTAGGGTAGGCATATATATACATTTTCATTTATCCTCAGTAAAATCCTGGGAGAATGTGAAGATCACAAAGTTAAGAAACTTCCTCACAGATCCAGGATCTGAACTTAAGTATCTCTAACACTAAAGACAAGATTTTTGTTATGCCATGCTGAGGAGGGAGATTGGTTGGTACACAGAATATGTATGCTTCTCTAAAATGGACAGCGGGAAGGCTGGACAAGAGACCATTTCCTCATGTAACTCCTCTTTATTATATGTCAGCAAGCTAATGGATATGATCTAGCATGAAAGTTGATAACCTTAGGGAAGGTTCTGGATTGTATACATCAGCCAAGGAATATTTCACAGAAGAGTTTTGACTTAGGGAACAGGTTTTTGCTCCAAAAGAATTGGAGGTGGATGGGAAAAGGGAAGATTGTTGATCAAAGGGTACAAAATTGCAGTTAGACAGAAGGAATATAGTGATCTGTTACATAGAATGGTGAGTATAATAAGTAATAATCAACTGGATATGGTGGCTCAGGCCTGTAATCCCAGCACTTTGGGGGGCCAAGATGGGAGGATTGCTTGAGGTCAGGAGTTGGAGACCAGTCTGGGTAAGATAGTGAGACCCCATCTCTTAAAAAAAACAACAAACAAACACTCAATTAGCCAGGTGTGGTAGCACATGCTTGCAGTCCTAGCTACTTGAGAGGCTGAGGCACGAGGATTGCTTGAGCCCAGGAGTTTGAGGTTACAGTGAGCTGTGATTGCACCACTGCACTCCAACCTGGGTAACAGAGTGAGACCCTGTCTCTAAAAAGTAATAATAATAAATAAAAAATAATGCATTGTATACTTCAAAATTACTAAAAGAGTACATTTCAAATGTTTTCTTTCTTTTTTTTTTTGAGACGGAGTTTCACTCTGTCTCCCAGGCTGGAGTGCAGTGGCACGATCTCGGCTCACTGCAAGCTCTGCCTCCTGAGTTCAAGTTATTCTTGTGCCTCAGCCTCCTGAGTATTGTGATTACAGGCATGTGCCACCACACCCGGCTAATTTTTGTATTTTTACTAGAGATGGGGTTTCACCACGTTGGCCAGGCTGGTCTCAAACTCCCAGCTTCAAGTGATCCACCCTCCTCAGTCTCCCAAAGTGCTGAGATTACAGGTGTGAGCCACTGCACCCAGCCTTAAATGTTTTCATCACCCCAAAAATGAGAAATATGTGAGGTAATAGATCTGTTAGTTAGCTTGATTTAATTATTCTACAATGTGAACATATATTGAGACATCACAGGGTACCCTACATATATATGTAATATATACAGTTATTATTTGTCAATTAAAAATAAAATAAATAAAATATTTTAGCAGAGAATAAGGAAGACTGCCCTGAGTTGGTATGAATCTTCCCTTGGAGCTTATCAGGATGGAGTGGCTGTTCTTGATGTAGGAGGTGTGGGTTCTGGGACACACAAGCAGGATTAATTCTGTGTCCAGAGCCTCAGAAAAGAAACATACTCTATTGTGGCTCCCAGACTCTTTCATAATTTCACAGCAAGGAGAGCTGTGCTTTCTTCATAGGCTTTTTTGAGGTTGTTATTGTTTTTGAGGGCTCCTTCAGGAAATTAATTGGTCTGCTTTTCCAACTAGGAAGAAGATTCCCTCCTTACTATCTGCAAGGAGATTGTGGAACGATGGTCAGAAACTCAGAATGTTGTCACCAAAGTGAAAAAAGAAGGTAGAGTCAGAGTTTCTATGTTTAACCTCCAGAGCATTTTCCGGCAGCCTTGACTGTATAGCTGTTAGGGACAGATATTTTCATTTTCCCCTTGGATGCTCATTTTCCCAAAGATAGTGCACACTGGCAAACACCCAGCAGCCTGTGTTGACTCTTTACTGAACACTGGCTTCCTTTTCTTTTTTTGTATTTTTCCATTTCAACTGACCACAGTTATCTTCATTGTATCTTTTCACTTTTTGTTTTTCATCTTCTTTCCACTGCTTCTTGTAGATTTGCATTGCAGGTATAGAGTCAACTATATTTTTACCACTTCCTACTTTTTTCATGTTGTCTCTTTTTTTGAGACAGAGTCTTGCTGTGTCACCCAGGCTGGAGTGCAATGGTGTAATCTCAGTTCACTGTAACTGCTGCCTCCCAGGTTCAAGCGATTCTCATGCCTCAGCCTCGTGAGTACCTGGGACTACAGGCGCATGCCACCATGCCTGGCTAAATTTTGTGTTTTTAGTAGAGATGGGGGTTTCACCATGTTGACCAGGGTGGTCTTGAACTCCTGACCTCGTGTGATCCACCCACCTCAGCCTCCCAAAGTGCTGAGATTACAGGCGTGAGCTACTGCGCCCTGCCTCATGTTGTCATTTCATAACACAAATTATGGTTGGTATTTGGCTTTATTCAGCTAAACACTTTATCCTTTAAAATGGAAAAGAAATGGGCGAATATACTCACCGCTAGGATGGTAGGTTAGCTACAGAAAACTCAAAACATAAAAGCCAAATCTGGAAAGATTCTGAACTCTGTACACTGTTGGTTCTCAGTTTGGGCTGTATATTAGAATCACTTAATGTACCTGGGTTAGGTCCCAGGCATTTGTATTTTTTAAAAGCTCCTATAGGTGATTCTAATGTGCAGCCAAGTGTGAGAACTACTATTTTACACCATTGCTTCCTTTTCTTGAGAATGGAGAACTTACTAGTTGATTTTATTTTATGGTATGGCAAAATATTCTTTTTTTTTTTTTAATTTTTTTTTTTTTTTGAGACGGAGTATCGCTCTGTCGCCCAGGCTGGAGTGCAGTGGCGCAATCTCGGCTCACTGCAAGCTCCGCCTCCCGGGTTCACGCCATTCTCCTACCTCAGCCTCCCGAGTAGCTGGGACTACAGGCGCCCGCCACTGCGCCCGGCTAATTTTTTTCTATTTTTTAGTAGAGACGGGGTTTCACCATGGTCTCGATCTCCTGACCTTGTGATCCGCCCGCCTCGGCCTCCCAAAGTGCTAGGATTACAGGCGTGAGCCACCGCGCCCGGCCAAAATATTCTTAATCTAAGAATTCTACCTGGCATAATCAGAAACATAAATGGGACCAGCTTAAGTTGATTTTAGATTCCTGCTTAGGTTTTTGAGATGCCAGGGGGAGGAAGTTGAGTGTTTAGAGGCTTAGTTTTCTGTGGTTCTAATGCAGTGCTTTTCAACCTTTTTTTTTTTTTTTTTTTTTTTAAGGCAGCAGAACTTCAGTATATAAAACAAGTAAAATCAGGGCTGCTCTGATTGAAGATGGATACAAAGCTTGGCCTGCATGGCCTTTCCTTTCCTTTCTCAATGGCCCTGAGCCATGTCTTTTGAACTGCGGGGCTCTAAGGAGGCAGCAGATACCAATGTCTTTAGTACAAGTGCTGCCTGTGTGGACTAGTGGTTCAGTGAGCTTGTTCTCTCTCATACATCCTTGTTCTTCCTTCCTTCCACCACCTCCCAGATGAAGTACAGGCCATTGCCACCCTAATTGAGAAGCAGGCACAAATTGTGGTAAAGCCAAGGATGGTGTCAGAAGAGGAGAAGCAGAGAAAAGCTGCCCTCCTGGCCCAGTATGCTGATGTGACAGATGAAGAGGAATATCCTTTCTGGAGTCTCGGTACCATTCCCTAAAGCTCAAGCCAGACATATTTGTGAGTTTACAGTGACCTTTAGCAAGTTGCTAATCCTCCTCTGTAGCTTAATTTTCCCCTCTAAAATGGCAGTAATCTATAGCCCTTTGTGGGTATGTGGAGTGATACTGGATTAGTTGATACTGGACTTATATTTTTCAACACACAATCAGTATATTCCTGAAAACTATGGTGTAAAACAAATAATGTCTTAATAGTTCATTTATATTGTGCTTTCAGAAAATACAATATAGCTGTAATTCTTTATATTCGTATAATACTTTTCTATACAGTGTAGTATAATCCATCTTTATGTTCTTTCCCAGTCATTAAGGGAACTGAGACACCAACAGATGAATGGGTGATCAGAGGCATTCAGAAGATTAGTGGCAAAACCAGGACTAGAACCTGGGTATTTTTGGGTGAAAGATTCTCTAAATTTAGAGCAGTTTGACTCTTTTCTTTCTTATGTGACCAGGTAGTTAAAAGTAAGGCTGAACCCCTAAAGCAATACCAGAATAAATCTGGAATTTGGGAACTGTGCAAAAAGAAAGTGTTGCCAGTAGGGGCAGGTTTAGTTCCCTGTGAATTTCATACTTATTTAGGAAATGCTTTGCTTACTGAGCCTACTTGAAGTATGTGGCATATTATGCAGCGGACATCATACCAGAAATGTCAGCTGTGTAATCACTAGTTTTAGGAAAGAATTCTTGGGCTCTTTGGAGCCAGTTTCTCTCCTTTTATTTATTTATTTATTTTTATTATTATTATTTTTTTAATCTTTTTTGAGATGGAGTCTCACTCTGTCACCTAGGCTGGAGTGCAGTGGCACAATCTTGGCTCATTGCAACCTCTACCTCCCGGGTTCAAGCTATTCTCCTACCTCAGCCTCCAGAGTAGCTGGGACTATAGGCGCGTGCCACCACACACAGCTAATTTTTCGTATTTTTAGTAGAGACAGGGTTTCACCATGTTAGCCAGGCTGGTCTCAATCTCCTGACCTCATGATCTGCCTGCCTCGCCCTCCCAAAGTGCTGGGATTACAAGCGTGAGCCACCATGCCCAGCCTCTCTTCTGAGTTTTTCTTATGAGTTTTCTTGCCAGGGTTGGCAGATCTATGGTTCTGGTGACATAATTTCTCATCTTGGGCTAGAAAAGAAATTTTAAAGCAGTAGTTCTCCTGGAGGACTTGTTAAAAAACAGATTGCTGGGTTTCACTCACAATTTAGTAGGTTTGGCATAGGTCCCAAGAATGTGTATTTCTAATACATTCCTGGGGGTTTTGTGAACCACACTTTGAGAACCACTGTTTAGAGGTCATCTGGCTTCCAGGTAATGTGGCAATCCACCCAGACCACTTAAGCTTCTTTTCAGCCTCCAAGAAAAGGACCTTATGGAAGATACATCAATCTTTCCTAAGTTGAGGTTTCCAAAAATGAATCTCCTGGGTTTATCGCCATATCCCTGAGAATGTGCTCCCTCCATTCAGTGTGCTTTTCCTACTTACCAGTCTATTGAATGTTTTCTAATGTTAGGTTGGGATGTGCCAACTGTTGTTTTCCATCTGACTTTCCTTAACATCACTTACTGAAGCAGATGAGAAGGATGATTCAGGTGCTACCACAATGAACATTGGTTCTGACAAACGTATCCTTCTGGGTCCCTCCCCATGTGTTTCTCCATAGAGTCCTCTTGAGATCAGTTTTTATTTTGCAGTCATTGCTGGCAGCTCCCTTTTACCTTCAGGAACATATGTCATGCTAGCATTGGAAGCCCCATTCCTAGGACAGTCCTAGATAGTCAGTTTAGCAAGAACTTTCCCCAGAGAAAACACGTTAACAAGTACTGTAAAGGGATTAGTTTGGAGGAAGGATTTCTAAGGGAAAATAAAAATCTGTACTTCCTGTATATAGGAATATAGCTCTGAGTTGCCCAGCATTATGGAGAAAATTAAAATAATATTGAGGTCAGGCATGATGGCTTACACCTGTAGTCCTGGCACTTTAGGAAGCCGAGATGGGTAGATCGTTTGAGCCCAGGAGTTCGAGACCAGCCTGGGCAACATGGTGAAACCCTGTCTCTACTTAAAAAAAAATACAAAACATTAGCAAGGTGTGGTGGCACGTGCCTGAGGCTGAGTTGGGAGAATCACCTGAGCCCAGGAAGTCAAGGCTGCAGTGAGCCAAGATCTTGCCACTGCACTCTGGCCTGGGATATGGGAGTGAGACTGTGTCTCAAAAAATAATAAAATAATGTTGAAATTTTCTCTTTTTCCTCAAAAACCTTATGATTTGTCAGATAATACAAACACTAAACACTTTTTTTTTCTTTTTTTTGAGACAGAGTCTTGCTCTGTTGCCCAGGCTGGAGTGCAGTGGTGCGATCTCGGCTCACTGCAGCCTCCACTTCCTGGGTTAAAGTGATTCTTCTGCCTCAGCCTCCTGAGTAGCTGGGACTACAGGTGCGCGCCACCGTGACTGGCTAATTTTTGTATTTTTAGTAGAGACGAGGTTTCGCCATGTTAGCCAGGATGTTCTTCATCTCCTTGACCTTGTGATCTGCCCGCCTCAGCCTCCCAAAGTACCGGGATTACAGGCGTGAGCCACCGTACCCGGCCCACAAACACCAAACACTTTAAGCTAAAAATATGGACATATTGAAACATTTGTGCTGATGGCTGGGCACAAGGGCTCACACTTATAATCCCAGCACTTTGGGAGGCCAAGGTGGGAGGATCACTTGAGTCCAGGAGTTCAAGACCAGCCTGGCAGCATAGTGAGACCCTGTCTCTACAAGGAAAAAGATATATATATTAAAAATTAGCCAGGCTTTGTGGTACACATCTGTACTCCTAGCTACTCAGGAGAAAACCTTATCTAGTATTAACAGGTTTTGTTTTTAAAATTTTAAGAAATAAAGGGTAAAGTTTTTAGCATTTCCCCTATTACTTACATGGTCAAAAGGAAAATCCCAATCACTTCTAGTTACAAAATGTGCCATGTTTTGGTGGTGTGGACAATCAGATTATTATAGTTGATGACTGTTGTTAAACTCATTTTCTTTTTTTTTTGAGATGGAGTCTCACTGTGTCACCAGGTTGGAGTGCAGTGGCGTGATCTCGGCTCACTGCAACCTCCGCCTCTCAGGTTCAAGCGATTCTGCCTTAGCCTCCCGAGTAGCTGGGACTACAGATGTGTGCCACCATACCTGGCTAATTGTTTGTGTTTTTAGTAGAGACCTGTTAGCCAGGATGGTCTCGATCTCCTGACCTCATGATCTACCAGCCTCAGCCTCCCAACGTGCTGGGATTACAGGTGTGAGCCACTGCGCCCAGCCTAAACTCATTTTCTATATCTCATAAATCCAGTGTTTATGGTTATTAGAATGTGGTTTTCACTTCAACTTTAGTAGTCTAGGAACAAAAGCAAACTGATAAAGTTTAATAAGGTTAAACATCTTATTTAACTCTTTTCAGGCATTTTAACAGTGCCAAGTACATAAACATTTAGCCAGTTACATTACTACTCTGTTCACCAAAACTAGCCTTGATTCTCTAATATTCTGCCATTGAATGATAAAAGTACTTATTCTATAATGAAATTTCATTTCAATGAAATATTTTGTTTTCTTAATTTTTTGTTTCTTTGATAAAATATTTTAAAATTCATATTTAGATAAATCTGAATAACAGTTTTATTCCAAAGGACATTTCAAAACTTTTGTAATACAACTTTAGGATTTCTCTGTTAGACCAAGGATAAACATAAGGGTTTTTTTTTAAAAGACTAGGAATAGGTAAAGACCATTCAGGACTCAGCAGGTGGAGAGAGGATAAGTATAATGAAGAAAGACAGCAGATGTGATCTGTGTGATCTGTACCCTAATCCCTTAACTCACCTGTAGTTCTGTTCCGAAACACCAATGTGGAAGATGTCCTTAATGCCCGAAAACTGGAGCGAGACTCACTTCGGGATGAGTCCCAAAGGAAGAAGGAACAGGACAAGCTGCAGAGGGAGAGAGACAAACTAGCCAAGCAGGAGCGCAAGGAAAAGGAAAAGAAAAGAACACAGAGAGGGGAGCGAAAGCGATAACCTTGGCCTACTCTATTCTTCCCCTCCATGAACTTATTATCAAAGGGAGAACTGGTTGTGTATTTAAGAGAAATGAGAGTGCATTGCAAAGTAGTTTTCCAAGGCATTTCCCCTATTGTTTACATGGTCAAAAGGAAAATCACAATCACTTCTAATTACAAAATGTGCTATGTTTTGGTGGGGTGGGCAATCAGATTATTATAGTTGATAACTGTACCAAAGATCTGGAATGGGGGCCACCTTTATATTTTAATACTGAAGTCCTGTGCTCCTTTTGGCCACTTTAAAAAGTCTTCCCTCACCTTGGATAAATAGCAGGAGGATTCATAAAGCTAACAGTTTTCATCCTGAAGGAGAAGAAACATAATCAGTCCCTCCCTGAGATAAAATGTGGGCATGCACATTGCTTTGGAGGCAGTATTCAGCTGTTAAGTATTGTTTTATGGCTGAAATAGAAAGCTAATGAAGAGCCCTACCTGGATCCATATTTTATGTTAACATGGCAGCAGAACTAGGAAAATGGGAAGAAATTATTTGGCGGGTGTTCTAGATCTGATTTTTTTTTTTTTTAAGTTTCAGCCTATGGGAGGAAAAGAGGTATCTTTTAAAATAGAGATAGTTACATGTTTTCCCTCATCTAGGCTGTGTCCCTATTGGGTGCAAGGATATCATTGTTGGCTAGATTCATTTTGTATAATCATGTATCCTCTTGAGTGCTGGTAGATATTTTAATCCTGATTTTTCTCCTAAAACATGAGTATTAAGAAATTGTAATTCCTGGTTTAGAGAAACTGGAGAAATCACCCTTTTAAGGAAGAAACACTGGAAATCTCTGCTAACACCAAGATATTTAAGAGTGTACATAGTAGGTGCTCAACAAATTTATTGAATGAATGAGTGAATGGAAAAACTGGGAGAATCAAAAGTGAGCAGAAGCTCTCCATTTCTACTTCTGTCACAAACCACATTAAATTGTAAACAAGGCCCTTCTCCACTTGACTTCAGGCAGCAGATTGTCTAGAAGCTAAGGATGGCAATTTCTCTGACAAGACAAAGTAGATAGTTTATACCAGGGGTTGGCAAACTACTGCCCACGGGCCGAATTTGGCCCAGTCTGTTTTTGTATGGTGCAAACTAAAAATGATTTTTACTTTTTTTTTTTTTTTGAGACAGAGTCTTGCTCTGTCGCCCAGGCTGGAGTGCAGTGGCGCAATATCAGCTCACTGCAGGCTCCGCCTCCTGGGTTCACACCATTCTCCTGCCTCAGCCTCCCAAATAGCTGGGACTACAGGCACCCACCACCACACCCGGCTAATTTTTTTGTATTTGTAGTAGAGACGGGGTTTCACTGTGTTAGCCAGGATGGTCTCGATCTCCTGACCTCGTGATCCACCCCCGCCTTGGCCTCCCAAAGTGCTGGGATTACAGGCATGAGCCACCGCGCCTGGCCGATTTTTACATTTTTAAAGAGTTATAAAAGAAAAAATAATGTGGTCTGTAAAACCTAAAATATTTACTACCTGGCCTGTTGGAGGAAAAGTTTGCCAATCTCTGTTTTATACCATTAACTATGAAATTAACAAAAACTTTTACCTTTGTGCAGAAGGTTAAGAAAAAAAGCATGGTTAAGGAAAAGGAGATGTGTTACCTGTTTATGCACTCCTATAACCGTGGCATTGCAAAAAATAAAAATAACCACCTTTAAAAAAATAAATCTTATTTAAATTGCTGTCTTCTGACTTATTTTGATTCCTTCTACTTACCCATGGAAATGAAATATGTGTGAGTAGTTACTTAGGAATGCGATTTTTATTTTATGCTTTGTTTAGATTAGCCCTATAACTTATATTCCACTAATGGAATCTCTTCCTGGAATCCATAAATTCTCTTTCTCAATTTTCCCTTTTGTGAAGTAGGAATTAGATCAGAAAGATTAGCATGTTTTTTGGAACATCAGGAAACTGGCTTTGAAGTCCTTTGAAGTACTATTACAGTCTTAGTCCTTTATGTGGTGGTAGCGATAGGGTATGATAGAGCCTATTTTAATTTAGTAATCCTTATTTTGGGATTTTGGGTTGTTCTCACCTTGATTTTTGTCACTGAAGTAGTCAGGTTATATCCACGGTCCCCTGAAGGGTACTTGTTTCAATTTGTTAGTAGTCAGTTCTTTCTTCTGGGACTCTACTATGTATGTCACAGTTAAGTATACTCTCAAACTAATGCTTAAACAGAAAAAAGAGGATCAACTCATTAGGCTTTGAGTTTAGTTATCCACTTGACTCAGGTGCTAATAAATCCATTACATTTAAAATGTTCAGTATTGCAAAGGGCAAATTTTGTTTGTTTGTTTTTTGAGACAGATCACTCTGTCACCCAGTCTGGAGTGCAGTGGCGCCATCTTGGCTCACTGCAACCTCCACTTTGCAGGTTCAAGCGATTCTCCTGCCTCAGCCTCCCGAGTAGCTGAGACTACAGGCAAGCACCACCACACCCAGCTAATTTTTTGTATTTTTAGTAGAGATGGGGTTTCACCGTGTTAGCCAGGATGGTCTCGATCTCCTGACCTCGTGATCCACCTGCCTCAGCCTCCCAAAGTGTTGGGATTACAGGCGTGAACCACTGCGCCCCGCTGCAAAGGGCAAATTTTAAACAACCATATCTTCTATGGTAAGACTGAGTTTTAGGCCAGATTTTGGATTTCAGGCATAAATTCTCAACCCTCTAAAACTTTATAGTAGCAGATTATTCAAGTGAGAAGGACACTGATAACAACTCAAGGTAATTTTGCTTTTTCCATTAAAAAGAATGAGTACACCAAGTTCTTTTGGATTAGAAATGGCGGGAACATCAGTTTTATCAGTTTCACTGCAAATTTTGTAAAAGTTTTGTAATGTTTTCATAGGTTGTAATTCAGAAGTACAATGTTTTCATAGGTTGTAATTCAGAAATACAAGTACATAAGAACCATCTGTTAGAGGATATGCCATTGAAAGGGACACCAACTAATTTAAAAATTATCTATTGGGTGATATGATTAACAATATTTAAAAGACTTTTGTTAAGTGTTTGGTTCTTATTAATGGACTGGTATTTCATTTCTGACCGGTATCATGTAAAAGCTTCCCTAAAATTTTTATTCTGGTTTACCTGGATTAGCATAAAGATAGAGCAAAAATTTCATCTTTGAAAGAGATCAGGTTAGCTCCATGGATATCTGGATGGCATTGATTTATAAACCAACATTATTACTTGTGTGTTAATAGTGAAATCTAAAACAGTATAAGTTCTTAAATTCATTTAACTTTCTGATATGAGTGACTCTTAAGGTTAGAAACTAATATAAATTTAGAAAAATGAAACCAAATGTTTTCAACAAAGTAATTTATTTTTTTCCTGAGACCAAATTCAGTACAGTATTTGTTTTTATAACATCCAACATGTCTTATGTTAAACTTAACCACTTTCTATGCAGTGACTGTGGTGAGATGATCTATTTTATTTGACTACCCTCAATGTAATTCATTTGGGTAGTTCTAAGGCATACCAGTGTTCAAAATGTTTCTCCCTACAGTTACTCCTGCATTCTCAATCAGTTTCTTCTGCACATCATCTAAAGAAAATTTATGTGGTATGATTACACTCTTTTTTTTTTAATACCAGAATTTCTAAAACTAAGGAAAACACTAACATTTAAAAATCAGTGTTTCTAGTCAAGGATATTTCAATTAAATTTCATCAGTACATTATAGTTTAACTCATGCTAGAAATGTTAAAACCCAAGATCTTCTGAGTCACATAATACCAACATTTCATATTAATGAATAAATTACTCAAGTTCTATACAAAGATACTAAGTGATGAGAAACAGAAAAAGCTTTCAATAGTTTTAAAAAAATACAGAAGCAAACTAATGAACACAACTACACAAAATATACACTAACCAATTGCAAGCTAAACTAGTTAGAGATTAACCTTTTAAAAAATACATTTTAGAACTTCGTGATACCCTCATAAAAGGCAGCAAACTAAGGGTATTAAAACAGTAGTCATTATTTCAGTTACTGTGTATCAAGTCTAAAAGATCCAGACAAAGGGAATGTTTTGTGATTCAATTTAAATAACTTTAAAATTGGAAACATTTAATAATTGATAATATAATTAAAAGTTAAAGAATATATACAAATGATCTGAATAGGTTTTATATTCAGTAACTTGCATGGTTTTTACACTGGCACTTTTATCATTAATTTAGGAGAATCAGATGCATTTCCCTCCATATACTTAGGCATTAAGATTTCAAATTTATAAATATGGTAGTATTTTAAATATTAAATTTTTACATGAATATTGGGTTTATCCATACTTTCCTTTGTTTCCCAGGTATTATCCAGTTTTGCAAGGAAAACACTTTTATATCACAATCAAAACTTGTCTTGGTTACTAGGCTGTAGCCATAATTGGGTTACAGTCACTTAGATTCATTATTTGGAATTATACCTAACTAAGACAGACCTAAATGAAACTTATCTCCTAGAAGAATTTCACATTTGCATTTACCTGCATGGCAGAATGGGTTTAAGCATATTTTAGCTGTTAGGAAATATTTAATTTTTAAACTTGTTATCTGACTACTCAGAACTCTTGAGTAGTCAACTGTACCTTTGAGCTTACTTAAAACTATATCGGATTCACTTCAAATAGAAGATTTTTAAATAGAAGTTAGACTTCATTAAGGTATTGGTATTAACTTTAAATCTGAAAGAAAACATACTGAAAGTTTGACAAGTTCATTAAAAAATTTTTAGCATGTCTTGATATATTTGTCAGCTTTTTATTCTTCTTTCTGCTGTCATTTCCTTAATGTTTGTTTGTTTCACCTCTCTGGTTCATTGGATTGCTACTATTTATGCTTTCATGGACTTTATCTTCACAGTTTACTGTATCTTGTAAAGCCTTTACCACATCAGCTGTACTGGCTGTTTTTGGCAAGGTCATCTGCAGTGCACACCACAGAGTAGTGCGTGTTTTCCGAGTAGCCACACACATCTCTTTAATTGCTGAAGCAAGGGCAAAAACATCTGTAAAATAAACATTCAGGATAATTTCATATTAAATGCCATTTAAATATCTGTTAACTCTTACAAAACCCAGTGCTTTTGCTACTAAATGATCAAATGTTATTTTTGTAAAAAAAGGATGGTTATTGATTGAACCAAAGTCCTGTCCTTTATCATTAAAATATTTAAAATTATTGATACTTTATTTCTGACTTGTACGATAGTGACTATACTTTGAGTAGAACACAGACTATCTTAAAACAGTTATAATAGACAAAATTAATAAAATGGAAATACTTTTGGAGTGAATAATGTGGAGATTATTTACCAATTTATTCTGTAGGTAAGTGTTAATTTTAGAAATCTAATCTTTCAACCTCAGAATCTGCCTTTATCAATACCTAAATTATTGCACTGACTTATCACAAGAATATGCATCAATATTTGTACCTCTGTCATCTTGGCATCTAGGAACTCCTTGCCTTTGCCGATTGGAAGCATTAACAATTTCATCCTTTCTACGTGACTGTACAATGTGAATAGACTCCAAGTGTCTATCAAGAGCAGTAGAGATATTGGCATGAAGAAGAGAACTCCGAAGACGTTCCATTTTGCCTAGTAAAGTCACAACCTGAGGGAAGCATTTTAAATTTTGATAAGACATGTCCTGCCCTTAAGTAAAAACAAATCTTCAGTGAAGCAGAATAGAGATGACAGCAATAATATTCATTCAATAAATCAAAGAATGCTTAGTGTCCTGACACCATGCTAGGGAAACAAAAATGGAAAGTGTTTTCTATCTACTTGTCTATGTTAATTCTAAAAATATGTGGCAGTTGATTACTGAAAAGCATCAATGAAAATGTTAAATATTCAAACATTACCATGTCATTAACAGTGCAAATACAAGATCTGTTACTGTTTTTGGCAAATAAGAGACCAGCCTGCAAACAGCATTGTTAGGAAGTATTGTAATCTAATGGAAAAAGTTTTGAGCTAAAAAGAGAAGTACTTGGTTGATTAATCCTGACCTCAATAAGTCTTTAATTTTTCTGGGCCTCCAATGTTCCCTTTTTGGAAATCAGAAATATTCAGATAGTA